CCAGGTCCTTGCTGCTCTGTGGATGCTGGAAATTGAACCCAGGTCCTCTGGAAAAGCAGCCAGTTCTCTTAACCCCTGAGCCATCACTCCCGCCTTTTAAATAAATGTTTCCGTGTCTCTCTGCACGTGTATATATGTGCAGGAGGTAAGAAAGTTGCGAACTACTTGATGGGGGTTCTGGGAACCAAGCTCTGGTCCTCTGGAAGAGCTGCAAATAGTCACGGAACCATCTTTTTTGTTTGTTTGTTTTTTTGTTTTTGGTTTTTCGGGACAGGATTTCTCTGAATAGCCCTGGCTGTCCTGGAACTCACTCTGTAGACTAGGCTAGCCTCGAACTCAGAAATCTACCTGCCACTGCCTCCCAAGTGCTGGGATTAAAGACCACTGCCGGGCTAGAAAATGATTTTTTTTTAGATTTATTTATTTATTATATGTAAGTACACTGTCGCTGTCTTCAGACACCCATATGAGGGCATCAGATCTCATTGCAGATGGTTGTGAGCCACCATGTGGTTGCTGGGATTTGAACTCATGACCTCTAGAAGGACAGTCAGTGCTCTTAACCGCTGAGCCATCTCACCAGTGCCTAGAAAATGATTTTTTAAAAGTACTTTTATTTAAGTGTGGAGGGGCACTGTGTTTGGATGTCAATGAAAACAAATTAAAAGGAAAGGAAAGGACATGATTGCTCCTGGGTATAGTGGAGGAGAAAGTTTACTATAGATAAAAGGGAGAGCATAGCCAGAGGCAGACACATGGAGTGTCCAGAATGTTCATGACCTTGAGCCCTGTGAGGACAGAGGAGAGGGGAAGGGAGAGAGCAGAGAGGGGAAAGAAAGGGAGAGGGGAGACGGGGGAGAAGAAGGGGAAGGGAAGGAGGAGCAGTCTGGAACCTTCAGCAGCACAAGTTTTTATAGGAAAATAGCAAAGGAGGGGGTGAAGGAGGGGGTGTCCAGTCTGGCAAGCCTCTAATAGAATGACTATAAGTGGACAGGTGGGCACTCTGAAGCAAGAAAGTATACAATCACAAACACTCTGAAAGTACATCTGAAACACCCAGACTAATCTTTGATTCACTGTTGCCACGAAGTAGCTAGGGAGTAGCTCTGGCCAAGGCCAAGCGTGGGGTCCTTCCTAGGACGTGGGTGCAGCTTGGATTTTGCTGCCAGTCAAGTTCTCAGGCTTTTTTAAAATTTTCTTTTAAGATGGAGGCCTTTCCAAGATGGAGTAGGTTTGACCTCTCACCGTAAGTGTGTATGGAGGTCAGAAGACAACCTTCGAGAGTTGGTTCTTTTGTTCCCCTTATGTGAGTCCAGGGGATTTAACTCAGGTCGTCAGGCTTGCCAGTCTCCAGACCCCAAGGACCTTAAAATTGCCTGGTACATAAGCCGTGAAGTCATAATTGTTGTTGGCACTGGACCTTTATATTGTTTTCAATTTTTTATCTTTATCAACAACCAAAGATTAACTGGAGGTCATCTGAGTTAAGCCAGCTTATTTCTGACCGTCGATGTTTTCCTAAACAGAACAGAAAAATGTCAAGGATTTTCTCAAGGGCAGTGAAGAATCTGACCCGCAGCCAGCAGAAACTAACATAAAAATGTCCTGGAGTGACAGAGAAAGCAGCTGAACACTCAGCGAATCTGACAACCAAAGGGTTTGCGGGTTTGTTTGGGAAATGGCTTGTTAAAATATGAAAAAAAAAAAAAAACACCAAAGCTCACAAGAGTAGAAGGTTTCTTTGCTCTGAGACTTGAGCCTTTAGAAAAACAGGAATTATACAATGCCACAGTACTGTCTCTCCCAGCTGGGACCGTCATACAAGGCAGGTACAACAAATATCGTCAATTACCAGACTGAAAGGAGCAGAGGAATCGTGATCCAGCACTGACTCTTCCATCAGGCTGAGCATATCTCACATCTACTATGCTTCAGAGTTCTCCTCAGCCACTTCACTCAGGTCAAGATTCATAACTCTGGCCCGAGTAGTGGTGGCAGAGACATATGCCTTGAATCCCAATACTGCGGAGGCAGAGGCAGGGGTACCGGTTTCTTGAGACAGAGTTTCCCTGTGTAGCCCTGGCTCCTAAAAATAGCTGGCCTGGTCAACAGAGAGATTTTCAGGACACCCAGAGCTACTCAGAGAAAACCTATCTCAAGAAACCAAGATCCACAATTCAGACTGAAGAGATAGCTTAGTGTTTAAGAGCGCTTGCTACTCCTCCAAGAGGACCCTTTACCTAATTGTCCTGTTAGTGGATTGTTTTCTTTTTTTCCTCTAATGCCCTCAGTGGTTCATTCATTCATTCATTCATTCATTTTTGAGGCAGGGTCTCATGTAGCCTACGGTGTCCTCAAACATGCTATGTTGGCAAAGATCTCGAACTCCTGAGCCTCCTGCCTCCCTCTCTCCTGAGTGCTGGGAATAACCTCTTGTGCCACCACGTCTGGTGTTATGCGCTGTTGGGTTTCGAACCCATTCTCGGTAAGCACTTTACCCTGTATTTAAAGTCCCGGACTTAGTGGCTGGCTTAGAACTCAGCCGTCGCCAGGGGGAAACCTTACCCTTCCTTTAATCATAAGCCTGTAAAGTCGCCTGTTAAGTTTCCCCGCTACCTTTTCCTAGGAAGGCTAAATACAATGTGTGGGATAAAGTGGTCTTCTTCCTGGAGGATAAATTCTGTCTGCGCATTAATCCTGAATCAGGCGCGCTTCTCTAAACGCGTCCTGCGTGCTCTGGAGATATACTCCATGGGACAGAGAGGGTCAGGCACGTAACAGCGACTTCTAAGCTCCCTATCCTCTTCTGAGATGCGGCCATTAAGCGGCTGCTCCGGAACACAGTAAAGCAACACTACTAGAGCTGGGTATGGGGAGTAAGGTGCTAACGACTCACTCGATCCCCTTCCCTCGTCCCCCGGGGGCCGGGACGCCCAGGATCTGGAGTCTCACCCGGGGCGGGGCGCTCCCGAGGCTCCTCCCTCTGAGCCTGGGTTGCTTGCTCCGCCACTGCATCTCAGCGCATCCGGCGATGTATCTCCGCAGGGCTGTGTCCAAGACTCTGGCGCTGCCCCGGAGGGCGCCCCCCGGTCCCGCGCCGCTGGGGAAGGACGGTGAGTGCCCCACACTTCTCCATGGGTCCAGGTTGGGGACCAGCGCCCCGAACCCATCATCACCTAGCTGCAGAACCCTTGGCCAGTGAAGAAACAGTGAGGGAGGGTCTCGGGCAAGCTCTCCGAAGTTCTTGGAAACTTTGGAAATAAGGACCTTTTCCAGGATGGCCTCTGAATCCTAATTAGACTTCCTGAGTTCCAGTCTTGAAGTCCTGATCTCCGGCAAGTAATGTTCCTTCATTTTTTAAGTGAGTACTATAGTGGCTGTTGGTCATAATCAATAGATCTGGAGTGAAAAAGACCACTTCGAAGAGTGTCTGGCTTACACCTAGAGTCCCAGGGTTGACTATTCGATTAACCACTAGTTTCTCCGAAGAGGTAAAGGAACGGATGGGTAAGTGGACGTGAGGTGTTCCCGTTCGCAGGTGGGCTCCAGGAGCAGTGTGGTTTCACTGAACACTGCTGATGCTAAACCCTGGCTTCTTCTGGCCCTGATCATCCCTTCGAAGTGGGGCGGCCTCCGGGCACTCTTTTGATGTTGCTGACAAGCTTACAGCCCCGTTAGCTTCGGATTAGGGAATGCGTGAGGAAATGAGGCACGCTTGGAAATTTTCTAAAGAGGAAGCATCCTGCAGTTTAACAGGTGTCGCGGCTCTGGGCCGGTTTGGAGGGCCCTCTCCCAGCCGCCTACTCTCTGTCCATCAAGAGCTGGGACACAGCTCTTGAATATTAGAAAGTTAATTCTTGCAGTACTTTGCCCCACTTCTTGAGGCATCCGAGGCAGCGTTCAAAGCAAGGATTTGGTCGAGAAAGACAGAAAAGTGCCTGTGGAAATCCATGAGCCAGAGGGTGTTTTGGTTTGGTTTGGACACTTGTTTACCCTGCTTTGATTAGGCCTGTGTTGTTGGTGGATGATCTCAGGAAGGAGATCTATTCACCTATTCTTTTAAATGCTGCTTGAAAGAAGTCTCCCCACAAGTATTAAGATGCCTTCCCCTCTCTCTGTATGTATACCTCCTAAAAAGAGCACCTTTCAGAGGTGAGGAGAAGCTATTTACTTTAAACTGATTATAATGGGGACTGTTCTGGTATTCAGATAAAGAAAAATTGAGACTGGCTCAGAAGTCATCCTCCGCAGAAGTCTCTCTCTCACCTGATCTTCCTTCCTCCTCCCTCCATCCCTTACCCCCTCCCCTTCCCACAGGCAAAGGCATAGGCACACACCCGGCAGAGCCTTCATGTGCTCAGAGGACAGCTTGCAGGAGGCAGTGGGTACCAGAGACCAGACTTGATACTTGGCTACAGACCTCCGTACTCCCTGAGTCATGCATCTGTGTCATACTTTTGTACATCCCCTGCCTCCCCTTCCTCCCATTAGATCAAAATAAAGATAGTGTTAACATAGATACGCCGTTAGCAGGCCTGGATGCAAGGGCACTGACCTTATTCTAATTTCCACCTAGTTTTTTGTGGTACTAGGGATTGAGTCTAAGGTCCATCTAAGGCGCCATAGGCAAGCCTACTTCTACTGAATAAGTACTACTAATAATTTTCCAGACAGGGTTTTTCTTTGTAGCCCTAGCTGTTCAGAACTCACTCTGTAGACCAGACTGGCCTCAAACTCAGAGATCCTCTTAACTCTGCCGCCCAACTGCTGGGATTAAAAGCCTGAGCCACCAGTCTGCCATTGACTAAAATCTTAAATTTGTCTTTGTGGGCATTAATTGATGTATTACTGGTACTTCCTACTTTAGTAAAAAATAAATTTATTTTAGTAGTTATTTTTTGAAAGACATGTTTTAACTATCATTAAGTTTTGTCCTTTTTGCTGTAAAATGTAACTTTCCTAGTGATTAAAATGTTACTTTTTAATGAATAATTTAGATTTACAATAGTTCATTGTGAAAATATCAGAAAGATAAAATATAACATATAAATGACTTACAATCTTCCTATTCAGTAAATACCGTTATTTATCGTTAGCCTACTTGGTTTTAGAGATTTTGTTGTTGTTATTGTTTTTGCCTTATAGAAACAAGGTCTAGCTGTCCAGCTGGTCTGAAACATTTATATCCCCCTGCCTCACTCTCTCAAGTCTTGGAATCACAGATGTGCACCAGCACATTCAACAACTGTAGGTCTTTTTCTTTCTTTCTCAAGCGCATTTCTCTTACATACCTTGAGCCCATACATCTGAGATCCTCTGCTGTAGGATATGCTGCTATGTATTTTCACATAATATGTGGTTGCATTTAATCATAGTCTGGAGAGCAGTTTAGAGCACTGGTTGCTCTTGCAGGAGATCAGAGTCCAATTCCTAGTACCCACAAGATGGCTTTAAACAGTCTGTAACTCCAGTACTCAAGAACCTGAAGCCTGTCTCTGACCTTCAAGGGCACCAGACATGCATGTGTTACACATACATACATGCAGGCAAAGCACTCATACACATGAAATTATAAAACAAATCCAAAAGAGATTTTTTTTTCTCCAGCCAGGGACACAAAGAAACCCTGTCTCAAGAAACAAACAAACAAAAAAAGTAAATCCTAGTCTTCACATTGTTCACATTGTATAAACCTACTAAAATATGTTTGATAAATTCCTATTGGATATTTCTCTTATTGCTATTTTAAGTAACTCGGCTGAAATTGTATTTAAGTCTACTTGTATCATTGATAATTTTCTTTATTTCCTCCTATTTAATAAGATCTTTCTGGAGTGTATGGGGTATAGCTTGCTCAGCAGGTAGGAACCTTGGATTTAACTCCTAGTATTAAAAAAAATCCTGGATCAAATAAGAAACCTATAGTTATACACATGTGTCAAAAGGTTGTGAGGTGGGTCTTTTTTTGTATCTATTTATTTACCTTTGGTGCTGGGGAGGGAACTCAGGCCTCCTGCATAGCAGACACTCTCTACCATAAGTGGGGTGGGGTTTTGGTGGGTTTCAGTAGGGTTGTTTGTTTTAACAATGAAATCAGCGAGGTCAGTAAGTTGGTTCAGCAGGTACAGGTGCTCAACATCAAACCTGATGACCCCCAACTTTTATCTCCAGGACCCACACAGTGGGAGAAGAAAATTAGCTCCCACAAGTTGTCTTCTGACCTCTACATACATGCTAAATAAATTCTTAGACGCGAGATTTCATTCTGTGATCCAGGCAGATTCCACCCGTTCTCCCTCTGCAGCCTCCTAAGCAGCTGGAACTAGAAAATGCACTAGAAAATAAATCACAAATGTGTGTTCAAGCCAACAGAAGTCTCACCACAAACCAGCCGAGTGGCTGTCATCCACAAGGAGGGATTCAGGAGGGCTGAGACAAGAGAAGAGGCAAGAGTGTGACTGGCCTCAGCTAAGCAGCAAGAGCTTAGGGCTAGTGCATTCTGAGCGTGCGCTCTCCCCATCCTCAAGTGCAAATTTTATCCTTAGGTATAAGGGCACTTCATTCCTTTTTAAAACAACGCTTCCCTGTTTTCTCAAATGGGCAGCTGAAAAAGAATGGAAAACAAGGAGAAGTGATTATTTCTGATGAAGAAGTAATTGTTGGACGTATATGGAGGAATGTGTTTCTTTTGCATCTCACTTGAGTGTTGCGCTTACTCACTTCTGTTTGCCTTCACCCACATCTGCCCTCACCGACATCAAGATGGCAGGCTTCACCAGGGTCCCTCAAATCAGATGAAAGAGGCTACTGGATAAGATCACTACCCCCTGCCTTCAACACTGCCTTCCCAGAAGTGAAAATCTCCGACAAGAATAGGAGAAACTACTCAAAAGATGTAATTATTTAGGACGCCTGTATTATGTGGCAAAAGTAACCGTGTTTAAACTTGTTTTCCTAGCATCTCTTCGCCGAGTGTCATCCAGCAAATTCCCTGGAACATCTGGCTCCAATATGATCTATTACCTGGTTGTAGGTGTGACAGTCAGTGCTGGTGGATATTATGTAAGTGCTTAAAGACCTGTTAAATAACTCATGAGCCTTGCTTCCTAGCTTCTGTCAGTACTCTGAGTTCAAAGTCAGTCTGGTCGGCATTCCAAGTTCCAGGTGAGCCAAGGCCCTGAGGGAGAAAGGGTTCTATCTCCAAAAAGGGGAGTTGGATCAAGTGATTATGTATTATGATTTCTCTTCTGTGCTGCACTGAAATTGTTCTTTATGCTTCTTTTGAGCTTCTTCTTCTTCCTCTTCCCCTTTCTCTTCTTCTTCTCCTTCTTCTCCTCTTATTCATCCTCTTCCCTTTCTCCTCCTCCTCCTTCTTCTTTTGAGACAGAATTTTTCTGTGTAGCCCTGGCTGTCCTGGAACTTACTCTGTAGACAAGGCTGTCCTTTAACTCACAGAGCACATATCTGCCTGTCTCTGCCCCCAGTCTGCTGGGAATAAAGGTGTGCACCACCACTGTTCTTTGAATTCTAATGGTGGTCTCATAGAGATTTATGAGATGAATCTTGGGGAGAAATAAAGCTAAGTACATATTTTCTTTCAGACTTACAAGGCTTTCACGTCAAAGCAAGTCAGACATACAGAACATGTAACCGAACCAAAAGAACAAACAAAGGCAGAGTTACAACCAGTTCCAGGTAAAGTAACTTTCTCATTTTGTTTTCTTATTAGAGACAAGGGCCCATGACTCCAAAGCAGGATGACCCTAAATGTGTGGTCATCCTGCCTCTACCGTGTGTATGATGGATCACAGGCATGGACCACCACACTTGGCTTGCTTCCTTCCTTCCTTCCTTCCTTCCTTCCTTCCTTCCTCCCTTCCTTCTTTCTATCCCTCCTTCCTTCCTTTCACCTCTTTAGTATCTTTAATCCAGAATGGCTATGTGTGGTGTTCACTTGAGAAGGAAAGTTGCAGTAACCCACAATGTTCCAGGGAATTTGCTAGATGACACTCGGCAAAGAGATGATAGGAAAACAAGTTTAAACATGGTTACCTTTGGGGGCTGGGGAGATGGCTCAGTGGTTAAGAGGACTGACTGCTCTTCCAGAGGTTCCAAGTTCAATTCCTAGCAACCACATGGTAGCTCACAGTCA